ATACTTTATAACTTCTTGTTTGTATAGGAAACGGAAGTGCAGTTTATTTTCCTTTTGTGTTTGTTACTGTTCTGTCGTTTTACTTCAAAGGCTATAAACTTATCTATGCAAAATAGGTAAAGGCCATCCCATTTCATATTTAAATGAAAATAAAAGAGTTGAAAGTGAATTTTAAATATACTTATGTATTATTTTCAAATGTCTCTATAATGGGTATGTCAACAAATAGGAGGTGTTTGTTACTTTATATGTAGAACAAATTTGAAACTACAGGAAAGCTTCTGAAGATCCTAGGATATTTATACTAAAAGATACAGTTATTTTCATCTGTTATAGTTCTGCTTTAGCTTTGTTCTACCTCTGAACTAGTTATTTTCTAGATCTGCCCTTAATATAGGGAATTCCTAAAATCTTTATTGACCATTTACATTTCGACTTAATCTCTCCTACCGTTTAAACAAACACTTTAACTATAACAACGGAAATAATAAATTCATTAAATATATAGAACAACAAGAAAATAATATGCCTTTCTTTAAAAAACAAACAAGGAAATCCGTTTTGTAAGGCGATCATAAAAAACTGCTCACCCTAAATCAAGTCATTTTTCTGCACAACAAAATAACAAAAACTTCGTTTGAAGAAGTATGACCTTTTTGTCATTATAATTGGCATTTGATTTTATTTATGCCTTTTTTTAGTGATTTATTTTACGATAAGAAATGACTCTTTATTTTTTATTTAAATCATATTCAAAGAGTTTTTGTGTAAAAGAAACAAACCCCGTTAAAAAGCCCGTCCCAGTTTATTTCGATTTTAAAATTTTTTTCTTTACTTTGTTTGTTTTATCATTTCCACTTTTTTATTTTTGATGTTGATTGTTGTTTATTTCTCTATTGGCTTTTAGTTACGCTACAATGATTATAAAATAACTTTTTTAGTTTTTTATATTTTTCTTTTCTTTTGTCCGTCTGCATGCTCGTGTCATATTCCAACACCCACATGTTATTCATATTATAAGTAGTTAGTATCATATATTTGCTTTTTTATGTATGAATATTTGTACATTTGTGTATCTCTACATATACATACATATAAATGGTGTGTACATGTTTTACGGATAAACACTTATGGAGTTTGAGAGAAGAGCAAAAAGTAGTTTATCATAATAGTTTAAATAAGCATCCAATGGTCTATTTCAGGGAAAGCCAAAGTAATGTCCGAAAATGTGAATTAGAAGTAGAACTTAACTAGAACTAGAACTGAACTAGAACCGAACTAGAACTGAACTAGAACTGAACTAGAACTGAACTAGAACTGAACTAGAACTGAACTAGAACTGAACTAGAACTGAACTAGAACTGAACTAGAACTGAACTAGAACTGAAATAGAACTGAACTAGAACTGAACTAGAACTGAACTAGAACTGAACTAGAACTGAACTAGAACTGAACTAGAACTGAACTAGAACTGAACTAGAACTGAACTAGAACTGAACTAGAACTGAACTAGAACTGAACTAGAACTGAACTAGAACTGAACTAGAACTGAACTAGAACTGAACTAGAACTGAACTAGAACTGAACAAAAACTGAACTAGAACTGACCTAGAACTGAACAAGAACTGAACTAGAACTGAACTAGAACTGAACTAGAACTGAACTAGAACTGAACTAGAACTGAACTAGAACTGAACTAGAACTGAACTAGAACTGAACTAGAACTGAACTAGAACTGAACTAGAACTAAAACTGAACTAGAACTGAACTAGAACTGAACTAGAACTGAACTAGAACTGAACTAGAACTGAACTAGAACTGAACTAGAACTGAACTAGAACTGAACTAGAACTGAACTAGAACTGAACTAGAACTAGAACTGAACCAGACAATTTTCGCTTAATTCGTGGCAGTCTTTACTGCACACACCCGCCTTATGTGGGTTCTTTTGATATGTTATTGTTGTGGTTTTTGTTGCTATTTAAAAAAAGAAAAAAACCTGAACCTTTTTTTTCGACAATAGTTTATGATAACAGACACAAAAATAAAAGTTTTGTATTATAGCCAAAAGTATTATGAATACATACTCATACTTTCAAACACTCAACTCTCAACAGCATTTTGTACATAAGTCTATAGTTTAAGTATGACTCGAAAACATTTTTCAAGTGGCATATTGCTGTTGTTGTAGTTAGTGTTGTATGTATGAATGATGTCGCATGACTGTCACATTGACAATAAAAGTTCACAAAACTTTCAAACTTACAAAAAAATAATAAAAAATTGAGAAGCACAAAAAGAGATTTACAAAGAAGACAGTTTTTACTTAAAATAGCCCTAAGGCAAATATTCTTAAAAAAAGAATTTGGTTTTTTATAAAAAAAAAACATATAAATAAGATTATAAGAATATTTAATCTAAAATAAATAACAATTTTTAAAGATTATTATATTAAGCAAAATTTTTAATCTAAAAATTTAATTAATCCCTAAAAGGATTTAAATTTACATTTTTCTTTAAAAATTTATAACGAAAATATATTAAGCGTACACATGTTTGATCAACTTTTTTTTCTTGAAAACATATGTATCTGTTTTGAAATTATACCTTCAAAATTCTACTTTAATCAATGCAATTGTTTATTTATATCTATTGTTTGTTTTCACCCACTAAATTGATTATTCAATTTTAACTCAAAAAATATACGTTGCAGAAATGTTGTGTTGTGGTTTTGTGCTTCATGCTGTTACCATTTTTATTTTAACGCTTTGGGTGCTTTTGTCAAAAACATGTGTTTACCTTAGGAGAAGTACTATTTCATACTCACATAATGTTAAATTCTCACAATTAACATTTTATGTTAACAATTTTACTTTATAATGTTTTAGGCATAAAGTAATACCAAAAGCTTTTAGAACGAAAAATAGAATAGAGAAAATGCTATACAAATCAGATATTAGATCATTATCGCCATTAGTATCAAACTTCTTTAAAGAACTAGAAGAGAATAAACTAAAACAGAACTAGAACAGAACTAGAACAGAACTAGAAACAGAACTAGAACAGAACTAGAACAGAACTAAACAGAACTAGAACAGAACTAGAACAGAACTAGAACAGAACTAGAAAACTAGAACAGAACTAGAACAGAACTAGAACAGAACTAGAACAGAACTAGAACAGAACTAGAACAGAACTAGAACAGAACTAGAACAGAACTAGAACAGAACTAGAACAGAACTAGAACAGAACTAGAACAGAACTAGAACAGAACTAGAACAGAACTAGAACAGAACTAGAACAGAACTAGAACAGAACTAGAACAGAACTAGAACAGAACTAGAACAGAACTAGAACAGAACTAGAACAGAACTAGAACAGAACTAGAACAGAACTAGAACAGAACTAGAACAGAACTAGAACAGAACTAGAACAGAACTAGAACAGAACTAGAACAGAACTAGAACAGAACTAGAACAGAACTAGAACAGAACTAGAACAGAACTAGAACAGAACTAGAACAGAACTAGAACAGAACTAGAACAGAACTAGAACAGAACTAGAACAGAACTAGAACAGAACTAGAACAGAACTAGAACAGAACTAGAACAGAACTAGAACAGAACTAGAACAGAACTAGAACAGAACTAGAACAGAACTAGAACAGAACTAGAACAGAACTAGAACAGAACTAGAACAGAACTAGAACAGAACTAGAACAGAACTAGAACAGAACTAGAACACTAGAACAGAACTAGAACAGAACTAGAACAGAACTAGAACAGAACTAGAACAGAACTAGAACAGAACTAGAACAGAACTAGAACAGAACTAGAACAGAACTAGAACAGAACTAGAACAGAACTAGAACAGAACTTGAACAGAACTTGAACAGAACTTGAACAGAACTTGAACAGAACTTGAACAGAACTTGAACAGAACTAGAACAGAACTAAAACTGAACTATTTCAATGTGTTAAATAAAAATGGCTGAACATTTTATTGAACAAAAAATTTCTTTTGACAATATATTCATTCAATAGTATTTTTTTTTTTTTTTTTTGTAATAAAAAGTTAATAATTATGTATTAACAATTTAATAATTGACGCAATTAAATATTTTTTTAAGTTATGCTTATGTTCATGTATTATAATAACAATGATATAAATTGAATTCGTTTTCACACATTAAGGAGATTTCATTTTCACCATTTCTGTCAACTAACATTCTTAAAAATTCCCCAAAACGTGAATCCTCCTTTCCAAATTTAATATCGCAATACTCAATATGATTTGCAAGTAAAATATTTTATAAATGGAACTTTGCAGAAAAAAAAAACATATGATAAAATGATATTCATGGTTAAAATTGTTATTCATGGAAGATTTATATGTTGACACATGTACACTACATTCTCAAATCCTTAATTTGTATTTCGTTATTCTTTTATTTTTCCGGTAGTTTATGTGTGTGATAAAAAAGACAACAAATCTATTATGGAATCTGTTTTATTAAAAATGCTAACACGAATTGCAAACATTGTTTTTTCTGTACAGAGTAAAATATGTATGTATAAACTTTTTTGTACGTTTAAAATGTTTAAAACGGAAGTATGTATGAACTGCATACATATATGTATATTGATAAAGCTACAAAAGGAATTTTTTAAAAGTATTTCGCATAAAATTTTCTGTGATGTATAATAAAATGTATTATTTGTTAGTTTTTTATATGAGATAAATAATAATTTTAAAAAAACATATGTGCTAGAAGAAAAAATTAAAATGCATACTTATATTAATCAAACTATAATGAAAAACATAGAATTTTTACGCTTGAAATTATATACGACCTTTTTATACAATGATTTTTAAAACTAAAATCTGCAAATATGTATGAATTTTTTTAATTATATATTCTCAGATCTAGTAAAACACAAAATAAATGTATATATGTATATCCACTAACTAATATAAACATTTTCTATGTTATTTTTCAGTTCTGGGAAATCATTTCCGATGAACATGGCATTGATCCCAATGGCATGTATCATGGTGAAAACGATTTGCAATTGGAACGTATTGATGTCTACTATAATGAAGCTAACAATGGCAAATATGTACCACGTGCAGTATTGATTGATTTGGAACCTGGCACCATGGATTCAGTGCGTCAATCACCTTATGGTCAACTGTTTAGACCAGATAATTTTGTGTTCGGTCAATCGGGTGCTGGTGAGTAATAGAAAAAAAGAATAAATTGAAGAGTTAGTATACTAAATGATTTCAATTATAGGTAACAACTGGGCTAAGGGTCATTATACCGAAGGTGCCGAATTAGTTGATTCCATTCTCGATGTTATGCGCAAAGAATCTGAAGGCTGTGATTGCTTACAAGGTTTCCAATTAGCTCATTCTTTGGGTGGTGGTACTGGTTCCGGTTTGGGTACTCTATTGATTTCGAAAATTCGTGAAGAATATCCCGATAGAATTATGAATACATTCTCTGTTGTACCTTCTCCTAAGGTAAGTTAGTTTGTTTGGTTTTTTCTTTTTAATTGAAAATAGGTTGGCAAAATATTCGTATTCAACTTAAGCTTTTTTTAATGTAGCTGCTTGTTATAGATATTATAAATTTTTTTATTTTTTTTTATATATTTTATTAGAGCAAAATAAGTTATATATATAAGTTTTATTTGTTTATTTGGTGGTACCATATCTGGGCTGCTCTTTAGCATAATAATTTAAAAAAAAAATCTTTAAATATATTATATTAGCAAAATAGATTTAAAAGACTATTTAAGTGTCACTACTGAGACAAAGGTAGAGTTTTTTTTACTTTCTAGTCATACTATACGTATAATTAATATTTTATTTAACAATATTATTATAAGACTTATACGCCTTAGGTTCTATACTTATATTGTAATTTTATTATTTTAATTTATATTAAATTGCTATGGAACAATTACATTTTTATCTACTATGATTAAAGTCTTATTCATAATAAATCCTTATAAATCCTTACAGTTATCAAACAGTTATTAAACTATAAAACTTTTATAAAATAATGTAATTCTTAATAATTTTGAAATATAATTTTTGTAATATTTAACTAATGTTGCCAGCTTTTTAGGTCTCTATGCAAAAATAATTTTCTTTCATAGCATTCAAGCAGCATTTTGGACATTCAAAATTGCATTTCTAGATCATTCGGCTTGAATACGAACATTTCCTATAACCGTACCTGTGGATAAATTCTATCATTCCAAAACGTCCTTAAATTGCCGTTTGATTAGCTCCTAATAACTAATCAAACGGCCAACATTTCTTTGTCTCTAAACTTTTGTGGCTGGACTGGCCGATCGTTGTCTAAAGTAAGAAGACTGCTACTTCTGAACCGTACATTGAAATGGAAGGTCTACATTCAGCAGTATTTATTTTATTGCTAAAGACAAAAATCGCGCTAAAAATTTGTAGAATACTTTCTGCTAAAACGATTTAGAACAATTTTACTTTTCTGATCAATAAATGTTCTTATTTGGAGCCGCATAGCTTCGTCATATAATTTCAAGGACTCAAAAAATTTATGCTTTTGGTCAGAATTTAAATTTTCAAATTAACAAAAATAGCTAAATTGGCAACACTGCAATTAACCAACCATGTAAAGTTAATTATAAGTGATTGTCTTTATTATATATTTTTTTAATATATTTTACACAATATTGTAATATTTATGTATATTGACAATTAATTTAAAAATAATTTAATATACTATTTTTTAAAATAACCATAATTAAATTCATACTGATATGTAATAATAATTTGTAATGACATTTTATATTATTATTAAATTATTTCTTTTATCAACCTACACCATAAAATAGATTACTATAAAAAAAAATTAGAATAACACAGGCCAATGTAAGAAAGGTTTTTGAAAACTTTTGCAATCAATTCTACTGATTTTAATCTATTAAAGTATACCAATCGGCTTACAATCATTTCCTGAATCGATTTAGCTATGTCCGTCCGTCCTTCCGTCCGTCTGTACGTCCATGTAAACCTCGTAATCAAACTACAGGTCACAATTTTAAAGATAATTCAATGAAATTTGGTACATGATATTCTATTGTATCAGGGCCGAAGCTTGTTGAAAATGGTTATAATCGGTCCATTATTTCACCTAGCCTCCATACAACTGAACCCCCGAATAGAGCTTTTAAGTTCATAGTATATAGATTACTATAAAAAAAAATTAGAATAACACAGGCCAATGTAAGAAAGGTTTTTGAAAACTTTTGCAATCAATTCTACTGATTTTAATCTATTAAAGTATACCAATCGGCTTACAATCATTTCCTGAATCGATTTAGCTATGTCCGTCCGTCCTTCCGTCCGTCTGTACGTCCATGTAAACCTCGTAATCAAACTACAGGTCACAATTTTAAAGATAATTCAATGAAATTTGGTACATGATATTCTATTGTATCAGGGCCGAAGCTTGTTGAAAATGGTTATAATCGGTCCATTATTTCACCTAGCCTCCATACAACTGAACCCCCGAATAGAGCTTTTAAGTTCATAGTTATGTTAAACATACTCGTATCTCGACAAAAAACTGCTAAACCAAGTTCTATACTAACCTTAATGACTCTGACAATAGGGCCTTAATGACCTGATAATAGGGCCTCATTTGACTCTAGCGTCTATACAAAGCCACCTTCAACTTAAATGTACACAATTTTATTCAACAATAAATGGCTTATGTAAATGCTTTATTATGAACACTAAATCACATTTTATTTTTATAACTGGTGTAGGGTATTATATGGTCGGCCTCGCACGACTATAACTTCTTACTTGTTTTGACTGTTGAAGCCGAATCTGATATCAGTTTTTCTCTATCACCCACTATTTTCTAGCAAAATGGCTATATTTATATAATCCTTAAAATATATTTACCTTAAAGGGTTAATTTCGATTTTTTTGGTGTCATCATATATATGGGACTTCATTATATATGTTTCTTAAGTTCCATTTAAATCGGTTAAAAACAAAATAATATTTGTCTATGGTTTCAAGAAAACTTTCCAATATGGCATAGCTTGTGTGTTTGACCATTACAGTTTATGGGTTAATATTATTTGATTTTTCTTAAACTTTAGATGTATTTTTCCTATTAACTTGAGTTTTATATTCTAGAAAGATTTTATATAAAATGCATAACAGTAAATAATAAATCCTGTTTTTCAAAAATTTTAACAAAAAAAACAAAATTAAAATTGCAAGTACCGCTAATATGTGAGAGATATCCATCTAATTTCTTAACTATTTTATTTTCTTCTTTATTATCTATAAGTCATTTGGAGATTATCTTAAAATTTTAAAATTTGTTTAACAAAATTGTTAAAAGTTTAAACCTGGAGCTTTGAAACTGCTGTTTGAAGGGTTTCTCATTTATAACTATACCCCAAATACGGTTAATGCTATCTAATGAGGATAAAAGATCAAATTTAAGTTAATATAATATATTTAATGCAATGACATGGTTCTATTAGAATATTTCCCAACATTTATTAAATTTTTTTAAATGTTTCTCTATCAAGTTATTCTTAATAACATTTTAAATTTTTAACCGAGTTTGTGTTTATATCTGATTACAACGATAATTGCATACATATTTCAAGTATGTGCTGTTAAACTCCAAAAAGAAAATGTTAGTGCCAAAATTTTTCTAAAAAATTTTTTCCGCTTCAGAACCGTGGTGATACCAAATAACGTTGTCCTATTGCGCTAAATTTTTCCGTAATGCGTTTCCATAACTTAAAGTATAAGTCTAGAGACAAAGACGGCCACTAGTCGCAACTTCCGTAGTATTACAGATTTTTTTTATTGGGACACAAGTATACAGTCAGAAGGACATAAAGATGAAAATGTGTAAAGTTGATGGGTGATACGACTTTTTTATTTCCACATTCGTAATCAACACAACTGGGTAAAAAGTTTATTCGTCATTGGCCTGTTTAATAAATATGCACCGACTAGTCGTTGGAACAAGCTCCGTTGTTGAAAAGTTTTATAAAACTTTTGTTCAAAATTGACAATATCTACTTTATGTAAGCTTCGGTAGTTTATAGATTTCTTCTATATCTTTTGATCTGTCATAAAAAAAAGACTATCTCCCTCCTAAGCATTCAAAAAATACATATTAAAATTTTAGTTTATGCAACACGACGTATACTTATTATTTAATTCGAACAATTAATTAAATATTGCTCATACGTAGTGACTATTACATTTTAGGTAAATTTGTATTAAATAAAAATTGTCAGATTCTAGGTTATAAATTCCTATAACAAGTCCTAATTAAGACTAAATTTCAAATCTATCAGTTAAGAGCAAATTTAATTAAATATGACTCATACGTAGTCACAAATATTCATATTCATATTTAAGACGACGATACATTACAAATTTTAAAAAATTTACTGCATTTTTTATTCCTTTGAATAAGAGTAATTTGTTGTGTATTTTACGTGTAAGCTTTGAATGAGGACTGAATTTTATGAAATAGTAAAAATAAATATATATGAAATATTTAAAAATGTAATTTATATTTTCATTTACAAACTTTTTTCTGTATAATTATAAAAAGACATTTCAATCAATTAACAATGTAATTTTAAAACATACCTACCTACACTTGCATACTGCATATTGAAATGCTTTTTTGTAAATTAAATTTTACCTTTTTTTTGTTTATTATTTCGAGTTTTTTTTCACACAAAAGCTAATTTATATTGTATATTAAATTAATTATTAATATCCACAGTATTTTTTTTTTTTCACCCTAAAGATTACAGACATAACATGATATTAAATTTAACTAAAGCTTCCTACGTCGGTACATTTAAACGCGTATATACATATGTATGTAGTTTTGACAAGAGACATCAAAAACATTACACACGTTTCTACTAATTATGCATCAACGTAAAATTATAATGAAAATAATTAATTTCAATTATTCTGTTTGTTATTTTGCATAAATTGTTTTTCTTTTTTTTTTTTTGCATATTATGTTAATGATGAAGGTGATGTCAATGACTATATTTAAAATATTCTTAATAGAAATTATGGTAAATTTTATAAAAACAATATAAAAAAAGTAGTTTTTTTCAAAATTAATTTAAATAGAAAAAATTGCTTGATTTTGATGTTAGAAGAGACAATTAATTAAATTTGAATATTATTTAAATTCTTTATAATGAAGTTTCAAATGACATATTAAAATTAAAAAAAGTATAAGTTTAACACTAAATATGGATTAAGAAAAATGAAAAAACTGAAATAGGGATTTAACTATTTCATTTAAAATTGCCTTCGTAATGCCAACCATTTAAATATAAATCGTTATTTAAGAAAAAATATATTTATTTCAATATTCATGACTAATAAAAAACTAAAATTAAGATTAAAAATACAACATATATAAAATAAACCAAATAAATAATAAAAAATTA